ATTTATTTAGTTAACTAGCACAACAGTAGTTGAAAAAGGATGTCCTGAGATGTCATTGATCTGCACCACACGAAATCCCCAGCAACCACAAAGTTAGTATACCCATCCAGCAATAAGACAATGATATGGAACAGTTTATACATCTTCTAGTCAAGTTTAAAGATGCACCCCAGTAAACAGTAGTAAAATCATAAACAGAGGTGCAAGTTATTTGCTTATCCTGGAAATGCCAGAGGTTGAACCTGGGAGTTTTTTAAGCTATGGTCTATTCCTCCCTAGATCTACCTATCAGTTGTGAGTTTTACAGCTTTCTGAATAAATCCAGGTAGTATGTGAAATGCATGTAGGCCACCATAAAAATATCTCTGTTACTTCGGACCTACATACTTAAAACACTAAAACAAGCCTGCAATCACCAGGCGGTCTAGCAAAATCTACTTGCCTCTTTTAGGAGGAAACTGTAGCTATGCCAACTCAAACTATAATAGCATGCACCATCGCAGCAACACATCACATCTCTCAAGAATTATTTGGCAAAGGCAATGTTCTGCAATGCAGTCTGAAAACGCTCTAAGAATCCACTGGCAATTATGAACTTCAAAATATCATGAGTATATAAATATGCAATTGCATGGACAAATGTTTCACTCATTCATAAGGCCACTCATTCAATCTATAGTAGGATTTCAGTCAGGAGTTCCACCTGGACCTTTTCTACCACAAATGTCTCCAAAGGTCAGATCCAACGGTCAGATCCTGGTGGATCAGCTCTCTACTTCCCACTCACTGGAATGCCATATTTACCCCTTTTCTGCAGTCACTCTTGCAAACTTGGAGAGGCAGATGCAGTTCTTTTGATGGTAACTGCAAGCATGGAGCTGTCTTCTGACCTCAGATCAGAGAATAAGGGGCCATGGGCCTGTTTTTAAAAAATATAATGGGACAAACTGTCTCTCTTTTTCTCCTCTTTTTTGTCCTTGAAAAGCTGGATCCATAGAACCACAACTATTCAAGATTTTTTTTATTATTTTCTTCAATGCTAAAAGAGTCCAAAAAGTTCTTATAAAACAGAATGAAGCAGTAAGTTATTTCATTTCAACAGAAAACCTGACAACTGATTTTTAAGAATGTTCAAGACAAAACAACATTTAAAGATCTTTAACAACCATGTTAGAAGTGGAAATGTTCTACCTACACAATTTATACTGTGATTTCATTTTGACAGCACTTAATTCTGAAAGAGAAAAACCAAAGCAGTCACACAGCGCATTCAAGGTCATGATGTTTTAATTAACTGTCTCCAGTGAACAAATTTACAGAGAGATCACTGATAAATGTATGCAGAAACTGTGATAATGACCTTATTAACCTTGATCCACAAGTCTTAGAAAGAGAAGCAAGTTATAAAAACATATTATTTATTATCTTTTTCTGTTAGATACATTGGGATGAAAATTATTAGATGTATGTTTTATATGAAGGGCCTGTATCCTTCAAAAAGAAGGTGCACAGAACCAACACTGAATTGGATTTTTTTAAAGGTCAAATTGGCCATGTATAAACTGAACAAGGCTTCCTTCTGTAAAAAAGCTAAATTTTGCAACTCTGTCCCTGCAGAAGAATGCCCAGAAAGACAGTATATAAAACCAGTTACTTTGTTACTTATATTTCCTAATCTAAGGACATTAGCACGGAATGTCTTATTACTATAGTTTATATAGAACCTGGTGCCCAGTATCACAGTCTCATGTGAGCTTGCAACGCCCATGCAATATCACTGACCCACATATTTTTGTGTGTCAGATAATAGTCCATTGCTAGCCTTAAAACCAATTCCAAAGCAGATATGGCTTAAAAGTGATAAAGTGATAAGAGTGCATGGAGAAGGATGAACTGAACATAAACTAGATATGCTTTTCCTTTAAAGAAGCTGTGCTGACTCCTTTGAAGGAGATGCCAGCTGAAGGACACTTAAGAACTGAATAGTGACTGTGAGGAATAAATTGTCTAATCCAAAGTATATGCTACAACATAGGTCCAAGGTTTCCATATAATCACAGGCAGTTACAACCAGGCACAAAAATACAAGTTATTTCAAAATACATTTTCATTTTTCTATAGGTAGGCAGAAAGCAATAGCAACATGACAATAGTCTGCCCATAACGTTATCTGGAACCTGCCAATAACATTATCTGTCATTGAAATTTATTTGGCGATACCTACAAAGCTAAAAACTAAGTAATGGCTTTCTTTATACTGCATACACATGTAAATCTTACTGAAGTCAGTAATTATGTGCAGTACATCAGTAATGCATGACTAATTCTCATTTCCATGCACTTTGCTTTACAGTAAGTCCTTTCCTACTTTTTCTCCTTCAATTATTGTATGAACTATCCATGTCCCTATACCATTTTTTAACCAATACAGTATCTTAGGATTCGGATACATACCCAAGTAACAGTTTATTTTACAAAACATCAGGACATAATGGTTTTAAAGGTGTGAGCTTCTTATACGAGAGAGCTATTGCAAATGCCTGATCAAGCTCTGGATCAGATCCATCACCTGAGACATGTGAAAACCCAGAAACCATTGCAAATAATTAGTCAGAGAAAACCTAACCTTTGCCATTGGAAGCTGAATGTCAGGGGTTAGATCAGAAAGCTGTTCATTATCCCTTTTGATTAATATGATTATCATTCAACTTTATCTAAAATAGTGGAATACACAGAGCATGGAATATGAATTATTATTACAGTTTAGCATTATATATTCTAGAATGAATTGCTGAGAATGTATCTACAGTTCAAACTCCAGCCAGTTTAACTGCCATGGAGTTATTTGTGGACACTATTAACTCCATGGTTATTAATACCTAATGGTTATTAAGCAGTGCAATTCTATGCATGTCTACTTCTTGGACTCATTAAACTTAGCAAGTCTTCCCCACCAGTAAATAAGTATAGGACTAAAGGCTAGGAGCCCTGGGAATTTCTTAACAATCACACAAAATTACAGTTTCCAGGGTTCCACAGATGGACATGACAGTTAAACTTTGCATGTTCATAGTGTAGAGAAGCACCCAAGGTCTTCCCTGTTTTGCAGGTATAAGTATTGCTGATGATAAGCATGTGTTTATTTCAATTCCAAAACATTTCTATTGAAACTTTTTTTTTCTTAGTTTAGGACTCTAAGACCTGCAGCTAGCTTTCCAGTTATATATCTGACAGCTATTGATCTTCTGTAATTAACCATCTCTCACCTATTCTTTCAGGATGGCTGCCTTGTTCTAGGTCTGTCTGGGAATTTAAAGGACAGGACCCCTACTTTACATTCCATTCTCTATCAACACAGAGCTTTAGTAGCATGAGTTTAGATTCTGTGACAAAGTACTCCAGTTTCATATGAGAGGCAAAATATCACAGATCTATAAGCACAGTACTGCCCCCAACAAACAGGAATATTTATTAGTTAGCTTCTCACTGAAGTTAGCAGATTTTGGGTGCCTTAAAGGACTAGCAAAAGCTTTTATTACAACCCTTGTGTTGCAATCTTTCATTGCAGTCTCTTCTATCTTTGAAGCAGTGTCACAAAGTTAATACCAAACCAAAACCAAAAGAAATGGAAGGTGGGGGAAAGAAACGAAACATGCTTAATCCTGTTCCCTACTGCTAGAATTTCCCCTTACATTTAAATACGACGTTCTGCCCATAAAAAGAAAGGTCAATAACACTCCTTCAGTATGTCACAACCCCTGTTTTCAACCAGAAAACAAGCAAAAGAAGCCCATTTTCGAAGATGGTGAGAAGCTCCAAGCGGTCAAGGGCTTAGCAAGCAGCAAGACAGCGCCTTTGGGCGAACACGCCCCACGCATTATGCAGTTCCAGGGGAAAACCCAGCTCCTAAACTAAGCCTAACCCTCGCCCCGCCCCCCCCCACTGGCTGGCGATTCAGCGCAGAATTATAATTATCATTATCCCAAGCAATCGGAACGCTCTCGACTGCACACTGCGGCTTCGTACCCAGACCGGTCCCTACCATGGCTACTACCACCTCCCCGGAGGGTTAGTCACAGCTGATGCTTTCCAGGGAAGTCTCTTTATTTAAGAGCTGTCATAATGTTTACACACACTTCACCCCCACCTTCCTTTTGCTACACGGCACGCGCTGGAGATGCTGTCCTCCTCGCAAATAGAAGAGCTTCCCCGCTACGGTTTTGCTTTCGCCAAGATCCAGATTTACGTGGGCAGGGGGCAGGGATCGGTGCCAGGGCTTACCCCTGCCTGGAAGCCACGCCATCTGTCCCCAGAGCTGTGCAAGCTTATCCTAGGCATGTTTTATCCAAAGAAAGTCCCGGGGAATCCAGTGCCTCTCAGGGAAGGGGACATCGTGTGCATGTGAGCGCAGCAGCCTCAGAGTACCACAGAGCTGATTTTCAAGTGCGTACTGCAGCGTTTATAGGCTGAGGAAAGGCTGCGCTTCACGAATGACAGAAAAGGTGACATTCTGCACTTGCTCAGGAACCCTCGGGGGATCCTCGGGCTTCACGCATCCCAGGGCTCCACTCTGGGGGCGAGGGCTTCGGCGGGGGGAAAGGGGACGTTTATGTAAGCCCTGCCCACCCGTCCCCCTCCGCCGCCCCGCCTGCCAGCTCCCCTTCCGTGCGCGCGTTGTCCCAGCTGGGCCCTGCCGAACTTTCTCTGCTTCGGTGCAGCTCGCCAGCCACTTCCAGCGCGGCCACGACTCTGACGCACATTTAATTCGCCCGTGCACCACCTCGGACACGCGTTGGGCGAGAGCGCGATGCGCGCCGCGCCCGCCGCCTTCCCCACCGCGAGCGGGGAGGGGAGAGCGAGAACTACCCCAAACTGCCCCGAAGCGGAAAAGTTGCTCCCTAAGACGCAGCGCGGCCGGGCACCCCCCGCCGCCTCGCGCGGCGCGGGGGCTCGGCTCGCCGCCGCCGCCACCTCTCCCGTCCCCCTTCGCCTCCCCTTACCTTGCTTGACACACTTGAGCCGGATGGGGTCCTTGCAGTGCTTGATCACAGCCAGCACGTCCCTGATGGTGAGCCCGGCCACGGGGGTCTCGTTCACCTCCAGGAGCAGCTCGTCGGGCACCAACTTGCCGCCGCTTTCGTAGACCACCTTGCCGGGCTTCACCTCCCCCAGGTACGGGAACTGCCCGTTCTCGGCTCCCCCCTTGAGCTCAAAGCCCAGCTGGCCCTCCTGGTTCCTCACGATGACACACTCATGGACTCGGCTAGTCCAGTGGCTTTTCTTCTTCAAGCCCTTGGACATTGCCGTGGGGGGGAAGGGATGGGCTCGCTCGCGCGCTCTCTCTCTCGCTCGCTCGCGTTTTGCCTTGGGGTGTCCTTGGAGTTTCCTTTGGCTTGTGCGGGGAAGGGGGGAAGGCGGGGAGGGGGACCGGCACGGAAGAGCTGCTGCCGCGCTTCCCTGTCGTCTGAATGAGGTGGAGGGAAGGGAGGCTGCAAAGGGGGCGAGGATGCAAAGGGGGAAGGACGGCAGGAAGGAAGGGTGGGAGACTGTTTCCCCCGATTGCCTTAGCTGCGTGTGCGGTAGGAGCCGCTAGCCATGGCAGCTGCAGCTTCAGCCAGGATGCTGTGCGTGTATGTGCGAGAGAGACTATACTAGTTGTACAGTAACTGGATGGAGGGAAGCGGGGAGAGAGAGGGAGAGGGAGCGAGAGGGCGGGCGGGCAGGCGGCAGCGCTGTGTCTGCTGGAGTAGGAGGCGGGAGCGAGGTGGGGAGATGTCTGTCTGGCTCACACACTCGCTCTCCTCCAAGCCTGACCCGGTAGTGAAGACCGAGAGAGAGGCTGGCTCGCCTGGCAGAGCAGCAGCAGCAGCAGCAGCAGGGAAAGAGAGAAGGCGGAGAGCAGCCAGCGGTGGGTGGGGAGGAAGGAGAAGGAGCCGCCGCCGCCGCCGCCGCCGCCGCCGCCTCTGCTGATGCCGCCGCCGCCGCCGCCGCCTCCGAGGCGAAGCAGCGAGAGCGCCGTCAGGCTACGCCGGCTCCTCCTCAGCCCGCCGCCTGCCCCTCGGGACCGGCGCGCGCTCTCTCGGGAGCTGAGCGCCCTGGGGGGAAAGGCTGCCCCCCACGTGCCCCTTTCCCGCCCTGGCGGAGCATTTTGCCCCGAGACCCTCCCCGGGTGCGCCCCCCACCCGGTTGCATCTCCCTGCGCGACTGAGCGAGGGGCCGGCGCCAAAGGGGCGACGCGGAAGGGGGAGCTCCGGTAGGGGGCGCAGCGGGACGGGGGACCAGCCACCTGGTGATCGCAAACCCTGAACATCCTGAATGGTTTCCACCGGGGCGGCCGCATGGCCCTGGGTGTTGCTTCATCTGGCAAGCACGCCACAGAACAGTTGGCCAACAGTTGGATTTTGCTTCAATATTCTGAATCACGTGCAGTTTTGCATTTTTAACAGCATAGCGGCAGAGTGACTAAAAGGGGCTCTGCTGATGTGACCCTCCTCGCTTGTCCTTCTCTGGGTGGAATGGGTCCCCCTAGTCCAGCTATAGCACTGCAGGGCAGAGTGAAAGTAACATCCAGCTGGAGGGAAGATTCCTCACCCAGGGGAAGATGCCATCCAGATGAAGGAGGGAAGATGTGCCAGACAAGTTCAAGTGCTTGCACTTTAAAAGTAAGTGAAATGTCTAGGTCAAAATGAGTCCTGCATTTGACAGCATACCAATCGTTGCTTAGTACTCCTAAAACTCACCGGCTACAACGCGCCAACAAGTGGAGAGTTAGACCCTCTTCTCACTTTGCTTTGCTGACTATAGCTCCCTGCTGCTAGACTTAGGGAGCAATCTTACACATCCTTAGACCTACAAAAGTCCTGTCATTTCTAGCGTTCCTCATCCAATGGATGGGTCATGCTGGAAGCTCTGCCTCATTTTCTCTCTAACCTTGCATATTGCACCCTTACATATGGCATGTATTGCCGAGGGCAAACACACACACAGGTTGTTGTCATCAGCCATTCAGCCGAGTCCGACCCTTGGCCATTCTATGGATCATTGCTCTGCATGCCCCTCTGTCTCGCACTGCAAACACAGGATGGAGGACACAATAATTATTGGCTGCAGCAAAGGAAAAACCAGAGTCATTCCATCTGTTCTGCTAGGAGTCTCTTCCTCTTGGCTCTTCCTTTTCCATTCTAGTTGGTCATTGTCAGTACTTTTGCAGCTTGAAGGAAGTGATGCCCAAGTTTGTCTGCTTTCCTTTTCTCCCCACATCCCTTTCCTTTTGCTTTTACACAATGTCTTTTGGACTGGTCACCTGGGGGCAGGAACAACCTTGTTTCTTTTGATCTTATGGGAGTCTTTTCATCTGAGCAAGAGTGTTAAAATGTTTTAAATAAATAAGCACACACAACTTATTGCTACCTCCCATCTTTCTTCCAAGGATTGCAAGTAGACATTCTTCCCTCCTCATTTTATCCTCACATGTGGTAAGCTAGAATGAGAGCAGGAGACAGCATTACTAGCCCAAGGACACCTGGTGAGCTGGGATTTGAACCTGGGCCCAGTGGCACAGACTTTATGCCCTTTGCTTGCCAATTCGATCTCTGCAGTGGCCCTATTTTGACATGGCTTTTCTGCATGATCCTGACTGTATGTGCAGAGCCAAAGACTGCCTTTCTAAAGTTGTATTAACTTTAGAAAAGACGCCAGGACGCCAGACCGGTCGACGATGCTGCTGCCAGGGAGGACGCTGCCATCTTGCCGGCCGGCGAGTGCCATGCGGCCGCCCTTGCTTCTTCACCCTGCTGGCGCTGGGTGAGAGCCACGCCGGATTGGCGGCAGGGCTCAGGGACGGGCCACCGGCTTATCTCGCCAGATGCGGCCAGGGCTGGCAGCCGAAGGGCAATGGCCAAAGGCGGCCGCTGCCATTTGGGAGCCGTGCGGGGGCTGGACTGGCCATGGGCTTTGTTGTCGACCGGCGGGTGGGATTGTTAATTGGATTGGGATGTGTTGGGGGTGTTTTAAAGTGTTTTAATGTGTTTTTAGCTTATTTTTTAAAGGAGTCATTTTCAGCTACAAATATGGGGTTGCCTGGGGAGCGCATGGGCACTGCCATTGGGGTGGTTGTGGGCAATGGACATTATGGTGTTGGGTGTCTAACGTGTCCACGTAGAAGAAGGAGGGACAGATGGTTAACACCAGTTCCTCTTTCTGGTTATTCCCCCAGCCTGAGGGTTCCAGGTAGTCTTGTCAACAGCCTGTCGACAGACACCCCAGGCCTGTCGGTGCTGCTGCTTAATGCCAGGTCGGTCCAAAATAAATCATCCCTCATCCATGACTTGATTGTGGATGAGGGGGCCGACCTGGTGTGCATTACAGAGATCTGGGGGGAGGGGGGATGTCTCCCTGTCTCAACTGTGCCTGCCTGGGTATCTGATCCAGCACCGACCATGCCTGGAGGGGAGGGGAGGGGGGTCGCTTTGGTTTACCAAGCCTCTATTTCCCTTACAGGGCTTCCTGTCCTCTCGAGGCTGGGTCTAGAGTGCCTCTACTTGGTGTTGGGCGACCGAGACAGACTGGGAATTTGTTGGTGTACCGGGCACCTTTCTGCCCAACAGACTCCCTGCCTGAGCTGACAGAGATTGTCTCGAACTTGATGTTCAAGACTCCTAGGATGTTGGTCCTGGGGGACTTCAATCTCCACGCCGAGACGGTTATGACTGGGGTGGCTCAGGACTTCATGTCCTCCATGGCGGCCATGGGGCTGTCTCAACACATCATTGGCCCAGCCCATGAACGTGGACACACTCTGGACCTGGTTTTCTCAATGGGGCAGGAAGAGGGTGATCTGAGGGTGAGGAACTTGTGTCTGACACCTCTGTCATGGTCGGATCACTTCCTCATGAGGTTTGAGCTCGAGAGCGGCCTTTCCCTTGGTAAGGGTGGGGACTCAATTGTGCTGGTTCGCCCCCGGAGCCGGATGGATCCGGATGGATTCCTGAAGGCCTTGGGGGATTTCCCGGTTGATAAGGCTGGTGCTCCTGTCGATGCCTTGGTTGAACTTTGGAATGGGGAAATGACCAGGACTATTGACATGATCGCTCCTAAGTGTCCTCTCCCACCTGGCAGAGCCCATTCATCCCCCTTGGTAAACACCTGAACTACGGGCGATGAAGCGGGTTGGGAGATGTCTAGAGCTTAGGTGGAGGAAATCACGGGATGAATCTGACTGAACACACTTAAGAGCCCATGATCGGGCCTATGCTGTGGTGGTGAGGGCGGCAAAGAAGAAATTCTTCTGTGCTTCCATTGCCTCCTCACAATGCCGTCCAGCGAAGCTCTTTCGGGTGGTACAGGGGCTAGTATATCTGGGCCCAAAGAAAGATCTTGTGCCACCCTCGAAGGCCCGCCGTGATGACTTCGCCAAGCATTTCAGGGAGAAAATCGCTCAGATTCATCACGAGCTGGACTCGACCAGTGAATCAGATTCTTCTGGGGAGGTGCCAATGTTGCTGTCTGGTCCAAAATTGATGGCTGAGTTTCAGTTGTTGCGGCCTGATGATGTGGACAAGGTGCTTGGACAAGTACGTCCTACCACCTACTTACTGGACCCTAGCCCATCTTGGCTACTTAAGAAAGCCAAGGACAGGATTGGGACCTGGGTCCTGGAGATTGTCAACGCCTCTCTAAGGGACGGCTGGGTACCTGCCCCTTTAAAGGAGGCGGTAGTCCGACCAGTCCTGAAGAAAGCATCACTGGATCCAGAGTTGGCCAGTAATTATAGACCAGTGGCCAACATCCCGTTTCTGGGCAAAGTGTTGGAGCGGGTGGTGGCGGGACAACTCCAAGCACTCTTGGATGAAACTAAGTATCTGGATCCATTTCAGTCCAGCTTCAGACCCGGGTACAGTACTGAATCTGCCTTGGTCACCCTGTACGACGACCTGTGCAGGGAGAAGGACAGGGGGAGTGCGTCCCTGTTGGTTCTCCTGGACCTCTCAGCGGCTTTTGATACCATCGACCATGGTATCCTTCTGGATAGGCTAGCGGGATTGGGGGTCGGAAGCACTGCTTTGCAGTGGTTCTGCTCCTATCTCAATGGCCGATTCCAGAAGGTGGTGCTGGGGGACTATGGCTCTGCGCCTGAAAAGATCAAGGCCTGAAAAGGCTGACCACACACAGTCATCCTGAATGAGCCTTGCATGCAATTGGGGCCTGCCACCACGAGCCCTCTTCTTTTTAGTGTGCTGAATTATTTTATCAGAGCAGGTCTACTTGGTTTCTTCTGTTGAAACAAAGTGAAACATTACTATGTTTCAGTGCTGGTTCACAT